CACGTTGAAGGTGATTATAAAACGCGTGTACACGTACCAAATTTATGCGTTGTTCAACAAGTATGTACTTATTGTTTATATGATGATAATATGACAAAATTATGTCAACATTGTGGAATACGTGAATATGTATTCGATCAATATCCTGTAAAACAATTCGTTGATTTAGCAACTAAATTACTACACACGTTTAGTCGTACGATTTGTATCGCACATAATGCAAAAGCTTTTGATGCATAATTTATTTTACGGTATTTCATTATGAGGGGTGGCACAAATGAGATGCCGTCGATAATATTAAACGGTACAAACATCGTTGTAATGACAATAGGACAAACTACGTTTCTTGATAGTTTAAATTATCTACATATGCCGTTGAGTGCACTACCGAAAGCCTTTGTACTTAGTGGGAATACTACAAAAGGCACATTTCCGCATTTATTCAACACACCTGAAAATCAAAATTATGTAGGGCCATTACCAGATTTGAAATACTATTCAAGCGATTACATGCGAAGCGATGAGCGTGAACGTTTCTTACTTTGGTATAACGAGACAAAACGTTCGAATTATATATTCCATTTTAAGAAAGAAATTGTGAGTTATTGCAAGAATGATGTAACAATATTGCGGCGTGCTTGTTTAGCTTTTCGCAAAATGTTTATCAAATGCGGCAATGTTTGTCCTTTTGAGGAGAGTACAACAATAGCATCGGCTTGTTCTCGCGTTTATCGTAAAAATTTTCTTCAAAAAAATATGATAGGTATTATACCTACGGGAGGCTACCGCTGGGGTCAGAATCAATCGCGTAAAGCTATTTCGTGGTTAACTTGGATGGAACATGAGTTGGGTCATATCATAGCTCATGCGGGAAACGGACGCGAAACACGATTACCCGAAGGTGTTCTTGTTGATGGGTATTATGAAGAAATTATTGATGGTGCGGTGATCAAACATGTTTTGCAATTTCATGGATGCTATTGGCATGGATGCCCCCGTTGTTATACTGTAAATAGAACCCATGGGATTAGTACTGATACGATGGATGTTCGTTTGGAACGTACACAGTTTATTACAGCAAAGATTGAATCTGCTGGATATATTTTAACGGAAATGTGGGAATGTGATTTTGATCGTATTTTAATATCTAGAAAGGATATGCGAATATTTTTAGAAAATCGGCCTAAGGTTTCGCAAAAGCCGTTAAACCCTCGCGATGCCTTTTATGGAGGTCGTACAGAGAACATGGTGTCTCTTTATGATGTAAAGGGTAATGAGAAAATACATTATGTCGATGTGTGTTCTCTTTACCCGTATATCTGTAAAACAGGAAAATTTCCCGTAAAACATCCGACAATATATGTTGGTGAAGAATATCGCAAATTAACGGTATCTTCAGGCGTCGAGATTGATAAAGTGGAGGGTCTCGTTTATTGTACGATATTACCACCACGTATGCTTTATCATCCTGTATTACCTGTACGAATGCATGGTAAATTAATGTTTGCTTTATGTCGTTCGTGTTGTGAAAATATGTATCAAGAGGATTGTATACACGAAGATACTGTGGATCGCGAATTTACGGGTACATGGGTAGCTGATGAAATACGTAAAGCCGTAAGCGTCGGATATAAAATTATAAATATTTATGAAATTTGGCAATATGAAATGACTCAATATAATCCTGAAACCAAAGAAGGGGGTCATTTCACAGAGTACATAAATACTTTTTTAAAAATTAAGCAAGAAGCCAGCGGTTGGCCTTCCGACTGTATTGATAATGAAGAGTTAAAAATGCGATACATAGATGAATATGAGCAAATGGAAGGTATTAAATTAGATCCGCAAAAAATATATATTAATCCGGGGCTTCGTGCTGTTTCAAAAATATGTTTAAATTCGTTTTGGGGTAAGTTTGGTCAACGCGAGAATTTACCTAAAGTTGAAATTGTAACAACACGTAACAGATTGATACAATTACTTTCCAGTAATGAGATAAATGTTATAAGTATATTACCTGTTAATGATGACGTTTTATATGTTAGTTATATATGCAGAGACGAGAATTTAACATCATCACCCATAACAAATGTTGTAATAGCCGCATTCACAACAGCTCAAGCTCGTCTTAAATTATATGAGTATCTCGAGCGTCTTGGAAACCGAGCATTATATTGCGATACAGATTCATGTATATATGTGAGTGGTAATTCTCCGAATGATTATGACTCATCAACGGGTAAGTTGCTGGGTGATTTGACGATCGAGCTGACGTGTTATGATGAGGGTAGTTATATCGAATCTTTTGTTTCAGCTGGTCCAAAATTTTATGCATTTGTTGTACGTAAGCCCGATGGTAGTACTACAGAGGTTTGCAAAGCCAAAGGTGTAACTCTTAATTTTGCGAACAATAAATTGATTAATTACCGCTCTGTTAGGGAACTTGTTACAAATGAGCTAGATATTTCAATAGTACTTTGTTTTGACGCTATCAAACGTACGAAGTTTCATAATGTTGTAACAAGTACAGAACGTAAAACGTGCAAACAAACGTTTGATAAACGAAGACGCGAGAACTCTTATGGTTCATTACCCTACGGCTATTGCAATTTATAATTATTATATGTTTATACCCTTGAAAGCCGCAAATAAAGTATTTATATCTAAAAGAAAAAGATGTTTGATTACTTTTATAGTATTAAAGATTTTATTTATACATTGTTAAAAGCATATCTAAAAAACAAGAATATATATTGCACTTTATTATAAATGTCTTTTATAACAGGAACACCAATTAAATATTGTTATTCGTTAAAATGGATACACGGTGGAAACATCCTTGGACCTCTATGGTCTGCGGTCCAACAGGCTGTAGTAAAACGTTTTTCGTGAAAAATTTTTTTCGAAATATGACTGCTATGAGCGACACTAAGTTTGATCGTGTATTATTTTACTATTCAGAATGGCAGCCGAGTTACACTGAATATCGTGATAATGTTGAATTTCATAAAGGATTACCACGTAATGGGGATTATGCTAACGATCCATGCCCAAAACTTATTGTTATTGATGACCTTATGCGTGAAGCATGTGATAATACTGTAATAGATTTATTTACGAAAGGGAGTCATCATAAAAATATTAGTGTCATTTTTATTACGTAAAATTTATTTCATCAAGGACGCGGTATGCGAGATATTTCATTGAATGCTAATTATATAGTTGTATTTAAAAATCCTAGGGATCGTGCCCAAATACAGCATTTGACTCGTCAAGTTTATCCCGAGAATATTAAATTCTTATGGGAAATATATAATGACGCAACATCTATACCGCATGGTTATTTATTACTTGATTTAAAGCAATCTACACCGGAGAATTGTCGATTTCGCACGTGCATATTTCCTGATAATAAATATCAATATGTTTACGTGCCCCGTAAATAGAAGTACAACACGGGAAATATCAATAATCTTATCTAACATCTTTAAAATTATTTTATACATGTGCGACAGCGTTCTGTTTAACGTATTTATAGTCGAACAGAAATCCAAATCTTGTCAGTAGCTAAAATGTTTCTCATATTGACGGGTGATAATATTATCAACGATTTGACTGCTGAACAATTACAATTTATACCAAAGATTATATTATTACGAGAGTTCAGCAATCACATAGATTATCTATGGGATAAGCTTCCCGAGTATATAAAACGAGACCCAGAAGTGCGTGGCTATCGGCGGTGCTTAGAACATTATAATCTATCGACTCAACAATCGCATATTGATGGTCCAACACCGTTAATTAAAGATTGTTGTAAATGTAAATTATATACAACAATAAAAGGATTGTGAATATATTTTTCAAACTTCAAATTCAATAAGTTTGTAATGGCACCAAACGCTCATATCTTCGGCCAAAAACACGCTGCAATACTACAAGCGTTACGTCACCTCACTAACGAGCAACGTATCGCTATCTTGAAAAAGGCTGATCCGAAACTTGTTAAATGCATATGCGAGTGTGCTTTAAATATATTACATGGCAATGTACCACTTAAACAACCATATAAACGACGTTTAAAACGCTATGCCGCCATATTACGTCGATTCGCTGATAAAAACGATTCTTGGAAAAGTAAAAAACGCTTGATCGTGCAACGGGGTGGATTCTTACCTTTGTTATTAGCACCTATACTAGGTAATGTATTATCCCGCCTTATAGCTCTGAAATAAAATATAATGGAACACACGAAAAAATGGTTTTGGTACCGGAAGAAAAAGTCATGCAATTAACTCACGTATTGAATAATAAAACAATTCAAACGCCTGGTACTACATTGAGTAGGTTAGATGAAGAAATGCGTGAAATTCTCAATTCAAATGAATTTGTGGATGAAAGAGAAAAATGCAAGGCTTACCTTCAAATACTACAGCGTTATTTATACTTCGTAGAAGAAGCAAAGCATAATACAAATCTGTTATCTACTTAGATGGGGAGGAGATGAAAGAAATAGAAAAAGATCGGATAGGTGATTAATTCATTTTGGCTAGTGTGCCGTTAAAATATCGGCAAAAAGCTAAACTTTTATTAAATCATTTACAGTCTAATGCGTCTGACAGACTTGTTTGGAATAAATATGGTGTTATCTCTATCGACGGTACAAAAGTAATCTAATATTGTCGATCTTGTAAATGACACTATGCGCTCCAGAAAAACGGCAAGACCTGTCGCAAGACATCATTTTGCCGCATTTCTGCGTAGTGTAAAAATGCCTCGTGAATTTATAGGAAATCAAGATCTTTGGTCAGATAGTCCAAGACCTGGCAACGCCATTAGCACACTACAAGTACCGAATATCATAGGATGCGTTCCGAGTTAAGCATGAAACGCATGACCGCATTATTGCTGCGCAGCGCTTCGAAATCGTTCCATTTTATTAATGTGCATAAAGCGCTTCAACTATTCGGAACGGTTTCCTGTGCGTTAGTGCGAAATAAAAATGGATGTTGCACAAAATATTAAATGAATTCCCGTAGTAACCTCTTTAATTATACTTATGTCGAAAATTGATGAAAGTGATAGTTCCGAATCAAGTGATACCGAAAATGAAGATGAAAATGATATATCATATTATGTGATATGCAGACGTTGTTTTCTATACTAATGTTAAATAAATCACGTGGAGAAAACATAGCAGTTGAAAAAATTACGGATTATGTCGATCGCGTAGTTCCTAATTATACGAAAATTATATTTAAAGAACATTTTAGGTAAGCATTTTAATATGACTGTCATAAAGCTTATATGTATATTTTCCATTATAAACGTGGAAATGGCATTGTAAGAGTCAAACGAAAAGAAAATTAACAACAAATTAATACATATAAGTTGAACTTTTTAGATACCACTATTTCTAAAATTAATAATATATTTATTTTTGATTGGTACCGAAAACCCACCTTTTCTGGTAGATTCTTGAATTTTCTCTCTAATCATCCTATATCTCAAAAGAGGGGTGTTGTGTTTTCTTTGGTTGACAGAGCTTTTTTACTCTCTGATTTTGGATTTCATAAAAGAAATCTAACTCTTATCATTGACATTTTACTGGATAATGATTATCCTTTGGATTTTATCTTTGATTCTGTCAACCTCAGAATAAAGCATCTATTAAAGAATCATAAAGATCACGCTCGTACACAGATTGATAATAATA